GTATTAAGTTGGTCTTGAATACCTGCAAGAAAAACAATCCTAAATAAGGGAACTTTTAGATCCTTAAATGGTAAAGTCGGTATCTTATAAAATATTGAGGTAGTAGAGAATTTAATATCGTGATCATTTCTCATGAAGATCTCATAATGTATTTATAGCCCATAAAATGAGTGTCTGTAGGGTAATTACCCTGATAGCATTGAATGGTGGATAAATATTTCTTACCTGATAAGAATATAGTGGGTCCATAAAGCACTTTGATCCTCCAAAATTCATCTTGTGTTTATATAGATGAGAAACATGTGAATTAATATTGTAGTAAGGTTCTTCCCTTCATAACTTACGATACCTAATATTGGGTTGGTATTAGTATTAATTAACAAATTCTTTATTGCATTACAAATTACAATATCACAATAGAAAACTAAAGGTCCTAAGTAAAAGACTGTGACTTCTGAGTGAATACATTGTGGACTCTTGTAGTCTTTTTTGGAAAGAAACTGAACTTTTCTGGTCTTTTTGCGTCAATTAAATGTTTTTTTTCAAATTCACATCTTGGCCTGTGAAGCTTGTTGATGTCTCTTAATCGACTTTGATTGTTCTAGGATTGTTTGTTGGGGTGTTTGCAACTGCATTCAAAAGGGTAGTCGTATGGAGGTCACGAGGCTGTTTGGTTTGATTGGGTTTTAAATAGGCTGGGATGACTTCATTGTGGTTGGTTTTGCGGTGTATAGTAAGCCTTTTTCATAGTTAGTGGGTGGGGTGGGTCATCATTGTGCATTGAGTGCTTATATTTTGTTGCTCATGTTTACTTTGCAATTTGTTCTCTTGGGGATTTTAGCCATCACTTTGGAGAGGTTGTTTCGCTAGGTGATGAGTTAGTTTTATTTATTTATTTATTAAATGTATAGGTCTGGCATGTGTGCAAAATCTAATATATTTGGACTTGATAGGTAGCCAAGTCCAAGATGGTATAAGTCAGATACGTATGCTAGACCTAATACACTTGAACTTTACAGCATACCAAGTCTAAGATAGCGTAGGTCTGGCACGTATGCTAGACCCAATACATTTGGACTTGGTAGCCAGCCAAGTTCAAGGTGCTTAAACTTGGTAGTCAGCCAAGTCCAAGGTGATGTGGGTTTGGTACGTATGCTAGACTCAATATATTTGAATTTAGCAGTCAGCCAAATCCAAGGTGGTGTGGGTTTGACATGCATTCTACACCCAATACTATTAAACTTGGCAGTTAGCCAAGCCTAAGGTGTTTGGACTTGGCTGTGTGTCAAACCCAAGATAGCATGAGTCTGACACGCATGTCAGACTTAAGATATTTGAACTTGGTAGTTAGCCAAGACCAAGATAATTATCATCCTCATTTGGGTCTACCCTTAGAGGGATAATTGACCTCTTTAAGGTCAAACCTCAGAAAAGAACTATAATCTTTATTCTAGTTAATTGACATTGTAAAATCTAGTCTTTCTACATCTTTTTAGGTAAAAGGGCTTTTAGGTAAAAGAAAAAACAATTTGAAAAAATAAAGGACTCTATTAGGTTTTTGCAGGGTTGCTTGAGTTCCGGTTTGTTCTAGTATTTATATAATGAACTTCGAAATGAGTTAGTAATTAATTGAAAAAAAAAGGTCTCTAAATAGGAGAAAAAAAAATAGAGGACTATTAGGTCGCCCGAGTTTTGGGTTGACTCGGCGGGTCGACTGGTTTCCTCCAACCTAATTATAGTCTTGAATTTCAAATGAAACAAACTTAGCCAATGCTATTGGGTTCTAATGATGGGTCCTACTCACAGCTCTAGGCCCACCATTATTGGGTCTTACTATTAGTAATATCCAGCAACAGTGAATCCTGGTGGCAACAAGACCCACCGCTATTGGGTTCTAGTGGCAACAAGGCCAATTTTTAATAAGACCTGCTTGGGTTATGCTTGTAGTTGGACCAATCATTGCTGGGTCCTGGTAGAAGCAGAGCCCAACTTTAATAGGTCCTGTTGCAACTGGGCCCACCGCTGCTGGGCACCTAGACCTACTATCATTGGATCTGACGACAGAGCCAAACCTAATAAATTTAGGTCTTGGCAAAAGGGCCCAACAACTGGGTATCCATCTGGGTCTAACACTGCTGGACAGTAGGACCTAGCATCATAGGGTCATGCTTGATAAAAGGACCCAGTAGTGTTGGGTCATGCATGACATAATGACCCGACAATTGGGTATCCATCTGGACCCAATATCATTGGGTCATGCTTGGCAAAAGGAGCTGTTGGGCAGCAGAGCCCAGCATCATTAAGTCATGTTTGACGAATAGATCCAGTAGTGTTGGCCCAAAATAATATTATATTATAATATTTATGAATTGTTTTTTAATGTATTTTATTATTAAAAAATTATTTTAAATGATACAAATATATAAAGTATAGTTTTAAAACTCGGTCTGGCTTGACGGTCGACTTGGGACTCGGCCGATCCAAAGCTGGAACTGGGCCAGGTTTAATAAAAAACCACCCAAGGATTTAACCCAGTAAAACCTGATCGACTCGGAATCCGGATGACCTAGGTAAACCCATATGAGACCCATTTGTTTTTTTTTTCTTATATATATAAAATTAAAACACTATAGTTTTAGCCTTTTGGTTTCTTGTCAAACTATTTGCAACATGAAGGCAGAATTACAAAAACCTAGTCTCTTTAATCTTCGACGCTATATAAGTCGCAGAGGAATTTAAACCACTCGCCAAAAACTTCAAGGTAAGCCATACCAGATTACTAGGTTTCATGACTTTTGTCCTCATCTCTCCTTTGGTTTTACAAAGGATTTTGCTCACTTCAGTTCAGATCAATAAATCAAGGTCAAATGAAGCTGTTATTATTCATTACTTAAAATAATCCGCCGCTGATCCATACTTGATTGAGTCTACCTTTCTTTTTCTTTCCACCTTAGTCCTGAAAAGAGGAAAGTTGCTAGATTCAATTACTAGTAGTTAATAACTAAGCCTTGAGCTTAAGGCTGGCACATGGTCTTCTTCTTATAAAGTGGAGTATATTTCTTCGAGTCTTCAACCTTTTTCCTTTCCTTTTTTTTTTTTTTTTTTTTTTTTTTTTTTTTTTTGTATTCACTGGTTCGAGTATATCTTTAATTGCTTGCTTTTTATATGTCAATCTTTTTCACTTGCTATGAAGCTAGGCCCTGTTTCTGGCCCTGTTTCTGGCCCTGCTTCTGTTTCTGTTTTTGTTAACAACATATTCAAATTGTGCTTCAAGTGTTTCATTGGATTTTTTTTTTTTTAACTAGAGCTAGTCTATTTGACTCGTGACTCAGTTATTGTATTATGTGAATAAAAAAAATTTAAAGCTTCGTCAACTTTAATATGACAATATTAAAATTATAATTTTTACAAAAAAATTTATTTAAAAAAATTCAAGAGAAAAAAAATAAAAATCTTAATTTGAAGTCAAGAATTTTTTTAAAAAAATTTTAATAGTATTTTTTAAAACAAAAACATATATGTTTCAATAAAAAAATTTAACCTAATTTTAAATAAAAAAATCACATATATTTATTTTTTTATCATATAAAAAAAAAAAAAATTGTTAAAGTCTTGGGTCCTACTAGAAATAAGATCCAACTCTAATAGATTTTATAAGATCTAATGTTATTGAATTCTAGTAGCAACATAATCTAATGTTATTCGGCGATTTAGCAATTTTTTTATTTAAAAAAACTTAATACCCTTCACAAGATTAGTAATATCATTGAAGGTTGTTAATATCAGTACAAATATTTTATGTTTATATTATTGTTTACAGTGTAATGAGTTAATGTACCTAATAAATGCACAATGTGTTCCCTTGTGTTTTAATATTTTATGTGTGTATATAATGTAATATAATATAATATATAATAAGTAACTTAAAGGAAAAACAAAGTAACGAATCAAAAGCCGTGAAAAGCAACTTGCAAACCAACAATTAATTGTTTCTTAGTTCACAATGCATATAGAATAGAAATCCCAATAATTTTAGATTTTCTTATATTAAGTCATTAGATTGGCAAGCTTTTGTATGCGTACTCGTCGAGGAATGTTTTTAATTTAGAAGATGTTTGGAGTTGTAGGTTATTTTAAAAATATTTTTAATTAAAAATATATTAAAATAATATATATTTTTT